ACATCATCACGATGTTAGCTAAGGCGGAAGTAAAGTTGTCACCTCGTCTCGTTATCATAGAAAATGCATATAACACAACGAGATGTTAAATAATATTACTCATTCTTCTATGATCTCCAAATGAGGTTTGAGCTTCACCGCCACCTAAATTAGTGTTGAATACCAATAATTAATGATGAATACTGAAAAGCAAAACTCTTAAGAAATCATTCTACTTGCTCATCTAGCCCCTATTTGGTTTAGCTAAAAAAATTGGTAAAAATTTAAGACGGAGTTAACATTTAATTTTAACTACATATTTCATAAAATTCAGAAGTACTACTCACTTATCAATTATTCATTTCTTAAAAAGTAGATTGTAGCAACCAAAAATGAAAACCAAATTGATGATATGCTTCAAGTAACTTTTGCCTCCAAACTTCAGTGAAAAAGAAAACAAATCGAATACAACGCTCATGATTCTTGAAAAAAATTCTAAACACGTTTGATCAATGGATGTTCCTAAATGTCAAACAAATGCAACGTTTGTGTCTAACGCATGTAAAAAATGATGTCAATTCTATACACATGTTTGTTATGTACTATTAAACAATGATGAAGACAATCGATAAAATTTTCACGTTCAGCTACTAATTCTTTAATTGAAGCTACTGATGCCTTAACTTAACCTTCCATACATTTAGCCCCTTATCATTAGAATGACGCATAATAAACATTGCTTCTTGCTTTGCTATGAGACAAAAAGTTTTTCAGAAATGTCTGTCTAGTGAGAGGTTCCGCCTTTGAGGTTCCTCATTGACCTTGATTTTGTGCAAGTAACCTCTTTCTAAGGCAGATCCACTTTATAAGAAACAAGGGTTAATCCATTTGTATATAATGATTTGTACATGACGGATTATCCCAATGTTTGGGGTCTGCGTGTATTTAAAAATTCCAACAATGTAGTCTCCATCCCTATTGTGAGTAGTAGGTAAAAGATACGGTAAAAAAATTCGGTACATATAACATGATCCAAGAAATAATAGAATTCATGTTGATGAAAAGAGGCTGATTGAGAAGGAACATACGAAAATATTATTTTAAGCTTCTTTCAGTTAGGCATCAATATCGTGTTTTCTTAAAGTGGCATCATTAAAAATTAATGCCCATTCAAGTAGTTCAATGTCAATATTAGTATTAATTACTCAAGATAAACAATTAATGAAAGGGTGCTAGCTGCTCAACTTACTTGCATGTGATGTTCTTATTAGGTCATTACTCATCTACGGTAGTTATGAAGAGAATCAAGTGGACTGAAGGTGGGTTTGGTTGAGCATTCAAACAAGGGTGACTATACTATTAGATTGAAAGATCATTAAAACCAAAATAAATGCTGAATTTATTGAGACCGTTGAGAACAATTAGGGCTACGACGTCATATGTTCAATAAAAAATTAATTCACAACCTCTTATTTTATCATTTATAGCGTTAAATACTATTAAAAAAAAGAAGTTAAAACCTAATCTATTGTCCTCAACAATCCAATATGATATAGCAAATATTCTCTTAATGTTCAATACAAATTCAATTTACCAACCCTGACGAGTCCCCAACTTCTGTCCTTGAGCATCAGTAATCTGTTGCAATAGACCACAAAAGAGAGAAATTATACAAATGAAATGGATAAAGTAACATCTACTACAACAAACCGAAGTAGACAAAGCCTATAAAGCTGTCAATGAAAATAACATCATATCGAGGTAATGTGACGGTCAAAAGAACTAGGTATTTTCACATTCTAACATCACTCTCCCATTTTCCCTCTCCATCAACCAGTTTTTCTCATTTTGCACATAAGATGTAAGGCCGACCCGGTCAACTCGAACGGAAGGTACTGCGTCAGCAAGACAAAAGACCAAGACTAGCACATGCTGGATTGATGACCGCATCAATAAGAAGATTTTAAAAAGCCCAAGTGGATCGTCCTGTGGACTTAGAGATCAAGCTCAACTCGATCCATCTCTCCCTATGGCTGTGGGTCCAGCCCATGAACATGCCTTTATGCATGTGTATATTTGATCTTTAAAGAAAATCTAACATCATTCTTTGTCTAGTTCACGCAATCAACCAAGTCGGGTTTTATAACTATGCTCACTAATGAAAAAATGCTAAAACATCACATAGTGCAAGGTCCAAGCTCCTACTCCAGCTTGCACAACATTTGAAGCTTACTGAATTTTGCATACTCAAGCTCTCAATATAACAAGAAATTAAGTGAATTGATGACATGGTACTGTACATCCACATTTAGTGGTAGCCTACAGAAAATGTTGTAACGACTTTGTACACATACTAAGGCCCTGTTTGGTCCACATTATTTTTTTCATTCTCACTTTTCTACTCATTTTCAACCACACATTCTTCAATAAAATAATATTTTTCATCACATCAATAATTTTTCTTTCTTTTTCAACCACATATTCCCCATCACATCAATAGTAAAAATGCATTCTTACTTTCAAAATGTGCACCAAACGGGCACTAAATATTTTAAAGGAAAAAGTGGGTAAGCAATAGCAGAAGGAAGTCAGGGTGGAGCCATAATGTGTTTAATTAGGTCTTATAAATGCTATACCATATTGGTGAAAAGAATTCTACATCCAAGGACAAATACTAGGGTGGGGGTGAGGTGGGTGGGTTGTAGGACCCAAAAATAAGGCTCAAGGCTGGGCTAATCAGATATCTGGTAGGCTATGTTTAAGATAAGAGAATGACCATTCAAGTAAATACAGTCATTTGATGGTTACTACACTAAGAAGCCTTGGGAATATATGTTGCAATTATGATTACAAAAAATAAACAAAAGGCAATCACAGGGGCAGTTTTGGATATTTTTCTCCCTAGTATTTACCAAGAAATACGATATATTTTCTGTCGTGCGAAATTCTAAGATGAAAAGTTTGTAGTGTTGACTAGGTATTGGAGTTACAAAACGAAACATGTCTTGGAGAGCAACGGGTTAACAAGGAAAGGCTCTCCAAAGCTCAAAATTTGAAAGTTTTTAAAGACGAAAATTTCTTTAAATGAAGTTTAAGTAACTTAGAAAACAGATACTGGTGTACTCATACAACTTATTCGGGCTCTTGAGTACACGCAAAAGATTCACAAAAATTCTGATGTTACTACACATTCAATAATGTCTATATTTTTACTCTGGAAGATGTGTTTCCACAGAACACATCACCACTTGAAGGCAGTAAGAAAGTTGGAAGCTTTAGCATTGTGTCTCTATATTCTTGACCAGATATGGATGGGTAATAGCTCTTAAATTAGCAAAATATAACCAAAGAATTATATGGCCAGTATATGATCAAGGCTTCATTACCTGTCTCAAGAATTTTGCAAGTAAAAGGGACAATCACGCGGCTCCAATACTGTTGCGCAATGATGGATATAATGTACTAGTCAATGGAAAAACTGCTCAAGGATTGTCTTCACCCAATTCTCCCCATCCACTACTGCTACGAATGTAATTATCGACGATACAAAACTCTTTATTCTGCGCAATTCTCCGTGCATAGTTGTCGGCCGAAATTACACCCTTCTTCAGTCTTCTGTAGAATATTATCTCCCAAGGCCATGCGCGAGCACACCCTAAATAAGTTTCTGCAGGTAGATCCTTTTTATCTTCCCCAGGATGCTC